TGTTATGACTGTCATACCTGTTCGTTACAGAATCTTGAAGATCTGATATAAAATAAAATGTGGAGTTAGTAATAAGTTAGCTTTATTCTGTGATAATTGACATTCGCGGTTTGATACATGATCTTTTACTTTGCTCTTGGAAGAAGAGCGAAAAGAAAGGAGGGTGGGTAGGTAGGTGCGTAAAAGGTTTTACAACCTGCCTGTTCACTTAATACGTTACGGACGCCTTCTTTGTAAAAACACAGAACTCTGCTTCTGTACTGCACTGTACTCCACTGAGTTGTCTAGCCAAACCACCACTGATGAGAGTTTGATGCATCTGCATTTGGACTATTGCTAACAGTATTTCACTTACTAGTCTTTCTGATAAACTTAGTGTTCTTATCTGATTATTCCTGAAGCACAGGTCCTGGAAAAGACTGGGTTAAAGTGTAGAAAATTCTACAGTTTGAATTACTTGATTTCCTCCTAGAAAGGTTCTAACAGGTTGACATTCCCACAGGAGTATATTTGAGTACCATTCCTGACTTCCTGCAACAGCTGTCTCTGCATTTCACACGGGCGATTGAGCCTCTGCCACGTCCTAATAGACGTGTATTGTTTCTTTGCTAGGTTATACGGTATTGCCTCTGGCCAGGTTTACTCTTGGGAATTGATCTTTTCCATAATGGTTTCTATGAACAAATCATTTAGTAAGGGCATTCATACTTTGTAACATACAGGAATATTTTCAGAACAGGCCATCTTAATGAAACGGGTGCTTCTAATAAAAAGAGAGAGAGATATTGTGATTTACGAACTACAATTGCATCTTCATAATGAGACTCTCCTCAGCTGTATGCACTGCATAGAAGTTGTGTACTGCATAGAAGATACGGGCAGATGCATGCCCCAGAAACTCCAGACGTCAGTGTGCAGAGGAAAAGATACATGGAAGAAAAAAACAGATAACCGTAGACTGCAAAAATACTGAGAGAACAATAGAGGAGTGGTTGGCCCTAGCCAGGGGAAACAGAAAAGCCTGTATCTTCTTTTCATTGCTTATCTTCTGGGCTTATCTTGGGTCAGCTCTTTTTTCGTTTGTTGTCACTGATTTTGAGTAGATTAATTGGTGTCAGGATCATTAGTATCAGGATTCTGTTGGAGGGTTCTGAATGGAGAGTGGGAATGGTGGTGCTTTTCATTTTAACAAATTCAGCTCTTCTTTTTTTTTTTTTTCTGATCTCTTGAATTCTAATGCCAGAGTCCTACGACAGTAGAGACCAGTGAAGTGATAAGCAGGGCTCAGCATGGGGACCAGGTGATTCGGCTGTCTCTAAAGCAGCTGGCAGGGAGAGTAGGGGAAGCCCCATTTCGTTTGTGCCTCTCAGCTACTGTATGGAGAATGGGTTCAAAGACAGGAGGTGAGGAACCCATATAAATGTCGTCGTAGGCAGATGATGCCAAGACCCAAAGTCCCAAGGTGACCCAATGCATTGGACAGACATTACGGAGCAGGGAAATGCTGTTTGGAATGGCATTAGTGGCAACCATTCACCGAATAAGGGGTGCAGAAGGCAGGTTTGGGGGAATTCTGATGAGAAGCAGGGACTGGTGGAACTATGAACTGCTGTGGGATGTCTTTTCTGTATGCTGTGAATATGTGTTGCTCTCATTGGTTGATAAATAAAGCTGTTTGGTCAATGGAGAAGCAGAATAAGGGTAGACGGTACATTCAAACTGGAGACAGAGACGAAGAAGGATGGAATGAGGAGAGATGCCAGCCCACTGCCCAAGGAGCAACAAGATGCCAGCAACCATGGCCACATGGCAACATATAGATAAATAGAAATGGGTTAATTTAAGATGAAAGAGCTACCTAGCAAGAATCCTGAGCCATAGGCCATACAGTTTGTAATTAATAAAGGCTTCTGTGCCTCTGTGTGTTTACTTGGGACCCAGCGGCTGCAGGACCGAGGGGGTGGGGGACATGACACAGGAAAACTTCCATCTACAATGGTGAACAAAGAGCCCAGAAGGCAGCCACACACGTGGCTCCAGAGCTTATGAGCCAGTTCTTACCTGGGCCTCTGGATCTGAGACTCCATTGCCAACTACAGAACACCGAAACCTTGTAATGCTATTGATCTTGCAATGTTAGAATGAACTACAGGGCCAGCGCAAAGCCCTAGGGAAGTTTTCCCAACAGAGGACAAGACAGAATGGAAAAGCAGATATCCACCTTGCCATAGGCTCTGAGACTCCACAGTGGTGAATCAAAACCAAGCAAAGACTCGCTCTTCTGCTCACTTAGTGAAGCGAAGCTCCACACTTTAGGGGGCTCGCTGCTGTGCAGTTTGCTCCGCTGTCAAGAGCAAACAGATTCTGCTCACAGCTCATCGGTCCCCTGCCATTGGAAACCTCAGCTTCAGCCTGCACAGTCTCTCCAGGGCTGGGTTCTCTCAGTGACTCGACACAATCCAACTCACCACTGCCCCCGAGTGCTGCTTCCTCAACTCTGGCCTTCTCATGCATATCCGTGTGGGACAGATGTTGCAACACATAGATTGTGTGGAGGAAAAGCTAACATGCCCTCTAAGTGTTCATGGTTTTGTTGATATGTTGCATATCCGCCAGCTGCCCACAGCTCCCTGGCTCAGCGTTAGGCAAAATGGGACTGAACTGGGAGTCATATGGTGATGATGTGTCCACCAACCAGCTTGTCTAGCCCTTGCCTAACAGAGAAGTGGTTTTCAGGAAACATTTTAAGATGATCCATTTTCCACTAAGCAAAACCCATTCAGCTGCTTTCTCAGTCTGGCCCTGAATCACACTTGGAGAATTAATTATTCACTTTCATGTGCCACCAGTCATGTCCCCAACTAGACTGTAAGCTCCCTGCAGAATCAGGAATCGTACGTAGTACTTACAGATCCCCTGAGTGACCAGGAACGGGCTGCATCGCTTTGAGCCTCCTGGTGAGATAAAGTGGAGGGGCAGTGTGGATGGGGAGTGCCGAGGGCCAGCTCCTTGGAGGAGCAGAACTTCTAATCCAACCTCTTAAGAAGAGGGAAATGAAAACCCACAGAGGCTCAGCAGTGTGTGCAGTTACACAGCCTGCTGGTGACAGGACAGGCGCATTGCCTAAGAAGTGAGGGGAATGGTCCAGAGCACCAGCCTCCGCCCACCTCCTTCCTTTACCAGCCCTGTAGCTTTGAGCGCGTCTGCACACCTCTACTTCCTCTTCTATAGGGCAGAGATGCTCCGTAAGCCATCCATGGAACGTTCAGAGCCCAAGGCCTGGGCCAGAGTAAATGCTCACAAATATTAGGGAAAAAAGGAAGTGTCATACCATTTCGTTGATGTGTTTGCTACCTCCAACAATCTAATGCAAATTCGCTATATAATCTGAACTCCATCCTGGATGCGGTCTGAAGTTGAGGGCTTTGGTTCCCTAAACGTAGAACATCCTTTCCAAGTGAGACTCGTGTGGTTGTGAACACCTTGTAGGCTGCACTAAAACAGATGCCGCCGGTGTCCCCAGCACCCTTGAACTGAACTGCTCTGCTTAAGGGACATCATGAAACCCAAGGGTGACCGAACCTGTCTGAAAGCAGAGCGACAGTCACAATAACTAGGATCCCCCCTATTCTCTGCGTCATTTAAATGAGATGCAGTAGATCCCAACCTCTTTTATGTTTATTGGCTACTGTCAACTCACAGTATCTGAGTGGTGCTGTCAGTGTCTCAGCATCCTTAGCTACATGACCTTTGAGCTTAACCTCCCTCTTCCATGCTTAGGTGATGGCCAGCCCTCCACCTGCAAAATGGAGATATTAATAGTGATTTAGGTTGGAGCTCATGAGTTGTGTGAATTAAAAGCAACCATCTGTACAAAACGGGGCCTAGTGTGCAACAAGCATTATGTGAACATTATTGGCTTTGAATTGTGGATCTGTGTGTGGTGTGCACAGATGCATGTATGCGTGGGAGAGAAAGTTGAGGAAAAGTGTGTTCCTCAGTCTCTCTCTGACTTATTTTTAAAATAAAGTCACTCACTGATCCTGGAGCTCAGGGGTTCGGCTAGTCCAGCTGGCCAGCCAGCCCCAGGAATCCTCCTGTCTCAGCTTTGTCAGTGGGTTCTGGGGGACCAAACTCAGGTCCTCAAGCACTTTGCTGACTGAGCCATGTGCAATACTGATGTAGAGTTTTCACTTTAGAGAAAAAGTCTGGCGACCTGTTCTGACTTAGTTTGACTTCATCTAAATTCAATTAAAAATAAATAAAATTGATTTTGGCCTTTCATTTGTACATAGGACATGGGCTGGAAAGAAATATACGTCCTCACAACTCCAGAGAAGCTAACTAACAAGGAAGACCCAAAGAGGGACCCATGGGTTGCCCTGGGAAGGGGAAATAGATGAGATCTCCATGAGTAAACTGGGGATGAGGGGTGGGCAATGGAGGTTACGGGATAGAAAAAAAAAAAAAAAGAAATATACGTTTATGAAGTTTTCTGACAGAGAAGGACTATGAAGAGAGTATTTTGTTATCTTGTATATTCCATAGTTCTATCAAAATGTATATTTCAAGTGCATCATTTCAGATGAGTGATTTTGTGAGCTATCCACATGATACAAGTTTTCTTTCCTGCTTTGCTTTGCCAAGACAGAAACGAAGGAAGGGGCTCTAGCTTCCCCTGGGGAAAGTTCCAAAGCCACCTGCTTGGCTCTGAGCAGGTCTCCTGCCTCATCCGATACAGGCTCTGTCCACCCAGCCCACTCTTGTGCTGTCTGTTGCTCAAGTCTTCCTGTCCCATAAGCCCCTACAGCTACCTTGGCTCCAAGCTGTCATCTTCATTGCTTTCTACTTCTGCTGATCTACAGCCTCCATCTTCTGCTGATGTCCCCTCTGTGTGTCCTCACCTCCTTGTCCCTGTCCCCCAGGCCAGCCTGTCTCCAGGAGAATCGACTTCACTACTATATATCACAATGCTCCGGGGGTGGGGGGGTAGGGGAGCATTGAAAAAATTATCTTCCCCAAAGCCCTTCAGGGAGACAGGGTTTGAATCAGAAGAGGATGCAGGGGAGGCTGGAGCGTCATGATTATTCATGAAACTGTGTTTGTCTCTTATGCAAGGCGGATATTGATGGGTTGGGGAAGTGAGCACTGAGCTATATATATGGATGTGGTTTGTGTTTTCCTTGGGTAAGGAGCTTGTGGCTACAAGGCAGGGATTGACTTCTCAGCCTTACCATAGCCATTCTGTCCATTCCATAGAGCAGTGGGGTCCCCTGTCGACTCCATCTTAAAAGCAAATGTAAATCAGCCTTTTCCTACCACCCCCACTGCTACCCTCCCAGCCCAGCCACCCTAACCTCTTGGCTGGAGCTGCTGTTCTTCTCCCCAATGCCTAGACCCTGCTTGTCTCAAGCCTCGTATAGCAGCTCTTTATTCTCGTGAATACCCCTGTGATTATGGCTGTTCCCAAGAGGCCAAAAAACATAGATATTCAAAGTCAAGTGTGGTAGTGCATGCCTGTAATTCCAGCACTGGGGAGGCTGAGGCAGGGGGATTGTGAGTTGGAGGCCAGCTTGAATTGCCCAACAAAATCCTGTCCCAAACTGAAATAACAAATAACCACAATAGAATGAATATTTAAATCGTCTAGCATGAGATCCGTCTGGGACTAAGTCTTCTTCCTTTAATCACCCATGCTGTGATCTCAGGTGACGTGCTTCCCATAAGGGACCCCGGTTTCCAGGCAAGCAAGGCTTTTAAAATAGTTACAAAAGGGATGCTTTTGTCATTACATCACACCAACAGTCAGTGCAGCCCCTCTCGCATACCAGGCGTGCGGAACGTGCTGGAATTGGTATTGATTGTTGAAGCGTTACAAAGTGCTTGCTCAAAACCTTTTCACTAGAATGCGAACTGAATGAAATTTGGGGAATTCCTCCAGCCAGGTTCAGAGAGTCTGGGGGTCAGTATTCCAGCTGGAGACAGATGGCACAGCACTTAAAAAACAACTGAGGGAAGCTGGGTGAAGAACTGTTTGCTAATGTCTACGCAGGGCTAGGGAGCACCAGATGCAAAGTGCTGGAGCGTTTACCTGAACCCAGGGGAGACTGTAGTCACAGCAAATGGCATCGGCATCGGGCTCTGCATGTCCATCTTGGGCTGGCTAGCGACCCCACCAGTCCCTTCAGGTCCTGGGAACATAGGAATGCTTCAGGCTCTGGGGCAGGAACCCTTGTACAGTCCTCAAGTCAGCCCCACGGCCAGCGAGCAGGATGAAAGTGGAGAATGATCTGGAAATAGAGACATCCTAGCACTGGGAATCTTCAAGTGGGAGTGAACTTCCGGCTTTATTTACAGCAAGATGAGACTCACAGAAACCAGGCAGTGTGTCTTGGCCTCGGGGTCACTGGCCTCGAAGAAAATGAAAGTAACATGCACTTCATCTACCATGCCGATTTTATGCTCCTGCCTTCTACTCCGTTGACATCTCAGTATTCCCACCGGCAGGAAGTCCTTTCCTGTGTCTCATGTAAATGATTCCCACTACAACAGAAATCAATTGCATCTTAATCGGTTTTCTATAGAGTAGAAAAGAACTGGCTCAGGAATGAAATAAAGTCCCAGCAGCAGTAAGTATCTTTACCTTTATAACTGATGAGCACACTGCTCTCCGTTTTCTCCTGTGATCACTCTGTCCATCCCTAGACGTGACCGTCAGATGTCCTGTGGCTTCCCTAAGCATTGCTTAAGTCCTGGCTTGAGTATCTATCTAAAGCAGGCCTGGAAGATCGCTACTTTTCTTAGAAGGAGGCTGTAATCATTTCCTGACTTTGTTCTGGAACCCATCAGCTTCTCCCGCCTCATCTCCACAATTCGCTTGCCCTGGTGGAAAAGGATAGCTATGACCAGGACAGCTATTGCACGCTCTGGTTTCTCTTAAAGCTGGTGTTCTAAGCCTCTCTTCGGGCCTGCTAATAGTTCCTGAAAATGCGAGCCAAAGCCTAGTCCAGAGGAACGAGGTGGTGGCCAGCACCCAAGGATCCAGATTTATATTACTGTCCTCACTACATTCTTTCTTTTATAAGTTGCCTTGATCATGGTGTTTACTTTTAAAGAAAAGTAACAAAGACACATGATAACTTGAGTTTGATCCCTGAACCCATGTAGAGGTAGAAAGAGAGAACCAAGTCTGTGAAATTGTCTTCTGGTCTCTGCGTGCATGTCACAGTAGGTGCACTCACATGCACATATAATAACAGAGATAGACAGGTAGATAGATACACACACACACACACACACACACACACACAGAGAGAGAGAGAGAGAGAGAGAGAGAGAGAGATGATAGATAGATAGATAGATAGATAGATAGATAGATAGATAGATAGATAGACAATTTTAATTGTGGATGGTGAGCAAGGCTCAAGCTTAGACTTCTGTGGTCCATCCAAAATGACTCCTTCCTTCATCAAGTAGCCTTGTTGTACCTTTCTTGTTCCCATGTCCAAGTTCAACCCTCCAGCAATATGTCTGGGCCCTCAGGGACTGCCATGATCATGAGCCCATCCCCACAGTTAATGAGCTGTTTGTGATGTCTTTCTTGGTCTAGGGCCCTCCCTTTCTGATCTTAAGATCTGAAGTCACTTTGAGGGGTTCTGAGTGTGTTTCAGAGACATCTTTGAATAAACTCTAATTGTGATGTAAGGAATCATAATTGCCCCAGAGCTACCACCTACCAGGGTCTCCATGGCTGAAAGGTTTTAACTCTATGGGTGAGCATGGCTTAGGTAGAGCCCAGTTTGAGGCTGCCCTGCTTTCAAGTCTATAAACTGACTTTTATATATAGACTCAGTCCCTCTTTCCATACCCCTTCCTACCCCTATGAGTACTGGGCAATCTTGGCCTAAAAGCCCCAGAAAATGGTGAGGATAGTGCCTTGTTTGGGGGTCCTTCACTGTTACCCTCCAAACTAGTGATTCATAGCTGTCCTCCACCTCACCACAAACTGATTGGTTCTGGACAGTCTGTTCTTTCTTGCAGTCACGGATCAAGCAAAGCACTAGCGAAAAGCGTGTGTGCTATAACATCCCTTTTTGTCTATTTTAAGGTACAATTTTTATAAAATTTAGACTCCCGTGCATTGGCCTCAGGACAATAACAAAAATGTGATTTGAAAGGAATTCCATTAGTAACTCCATGCATGTCATTACAGAGAATAAATCTGGATAGGAATGCTTAAACATTTTCTTCACACTAAACCTAGAAACTTGCCATTTTCTTCCGTCTCCTTCCCTCTATTGGTTTGTCTTTATATCCCCCCAGGAAAGCTCTCCTAGGCCTGGCCTCCATGGTGACCCTTCCTCCACTAGTGCCCCTCAAGATCTCACTACACAGTGTGCCTCGGCATCTCACTCAGCAGCCTTGCCCTCTCTCGAGGGGGGAAAGGGGTCGTGTAGTTGGAGAGTTCTCGTTAAGGAGCCGGGGAAATGAAGACGTGAAGACGCACAGAAATAAATAACCCACGGTGCTGGCGACTTTTCTCACTGTCACAGCAGCACCGGGAAAGGGGGATCCATTTTGGCTTGCAGTTTGGGGGTACGGTCCATCACGGCAGTGACGTCACCACTGACGGGAGTGTGAGGTCGTGACGTCACAGCGGCAGGAGTGTGAGGTGGCTGGTCATATTGCATCTGCAGCCAGGAGACAGAAGAGAGACCAGTGCTGCTGCCCATCTCTGTCTTTTTATTCAGCCTGAGATCCCCCTTACCCCACCCCCAACTCGTGGGATGATGCTGTCTTACATTCAGGGTGTGTCTCCCTTCCTAAGAAAACCTTTTGGAAACGGTCTCAGAGACAATCTGGAGGCATCTTTCCACAGCATCCTAAATCCTTGTCAAGTTGACAGTGATGAGTAATCATCACACCCACTCTTGGACATTTTTTAAGATTTAAGGCTACTGTGAGCCTTCTTGTTTTCTTACAGTCACTACTAGAAATGCATTTTCAATAATCTGGGTCATAAAATGTCACATCAACAATTGGCACTCAGGGGCCGGAGAGATGGCTCAGCAGTTAAAGGCACTCGCTGCTCTTCTAGAGGACCCAGGTTCAACTCACAGCACCCACGTAGTAACTTACAAACATCTGTCACTCCAGTTTCAGAAGACCTGACACTCTCTTCCGGCCTCTGGGGACACCAGACACACATGGTGCACAGACAAAACACCCATCCGTGTAAAACGATACAGACATTCTTTTAAAACTGTCACAGGGCTTTGATGGGTTGGAGCTGGTAGGACTTACCGGGCAGAGCAGCTGGAGCGCAAGTCCTGGTCCACCCGCTCATCTCTTCAGTCAGTTCAGAAGTGCCGACCATCTGCCCAGGACTAACGCAGAAGAGAGAGAGGAGGAAGCCCAGACCTCGGTTTCAGAGATCCCTCCTCCAGGCGGGAAGACCACTCCTGTGATTACTTAACACGCAGTGTGGTGTCCTCATAGTGCAGTTGTTGGGAGCCGGGTGCTGGGACAGAACACCTCGGAAATGAGTTATGGGAGGTGTAGTTGTAGAGGGCGTCCCAGGGGAAGCTTCCTTCGATCTGGGCCCCTTATGGAAAGCAGATCCTGGTACAGTCACGCACGTCTGTAATCCTAGCACTTGGAAGGACGAGGCAGGAGGATCCTGAGTTTGAGGCCACCTTAGGCTACTTATGGAATTGAGGTCAGCTTCAATCACAGAGCACGATCCGGTCCCAAAACAAATAAAGAACAAAGGGAAAGTAAACGTTTAAGGTGCATAATGGAGGGGCACTGGAGAGGCTGCTCTGAGCAAGCTCTTACCTCTCAGAGGCACCATTTTGAAGTTCCAAAAACAGGGGATTTGATTGGCCCACCCTGGGTCAGGTGCTCACACTGGTCCAATCAAGTGCAGCCTTGGGGAGCTGCGGAAAATGACGGCTGCAGTCTTTCCCGCAAAGTGGAGCTTGACGACCAGCCGCCTTGACGGTGTTCTTCTGATGGTGTGGTTCCGGGTCACAGCACTCATGCCTCATGCTCACTTCTCTTGGATCAAAGCCCTGGCTTGAATGGAAATGATGCTTTACATCAAGGTCACAGGTCCTTTCACTCCCGTCCCTGCCTGAAGGGGCGCAGGGAGTGACTCGGTCACGTGGTTCCAGTCCCCAGGCTGGCTCCTCTGGGCCTCCCTCCTCCACCGAGCCAGCACTGCCCAAAGGTGCCTGGGCCTCAGAGGCAGCTGAGCAAATCCAGATGTTGGAAAGCACGTTCCAGCGAGAGGGCGGACAGCTGCTGAAGGATATTGCATTGGAGGGCGCCTTGTTTGTCATCAGAGTGAGTAACTGGAGGAGGACTGTGGTTCATGTTTCCATCCAAATGCGGGGGAAGAAGGGAGATGGGAAAGAGCTGGCTAGCAAAATGCAAATGCTGGAGAAGTGGCCTCCCCTCCTATTTACTTGTCGCTGTTAAACAGGTCCTCCCACCCATACAAGACCCTCTCCCTAAATGGGCATTTCTTCACCCGTGGCATTAACTTGCAACCTGGCCACAAGAGATCTGTTTCCCTGCTCCTCCAAGTCACACTCCTCCCAGGCTCTGGGTCTTAACTCCTCCTAACCACAAAGACATGGCAATGGGGGAGGCTTTATTCCGCCCTGCTGCCAAGTTTTATCTCTTTATCTTTCCTCTGAATCTCCCACCCTGGCTCCACGGTTTCTGCAATGTTCTGTCCTTCACCCACCCTGTAATTTATGGATGTGTTTTGCCTCAAAGAGCCACAGAGCTAAGAAGTTTATATTGTCGCGCCAAGACATGGGACTTGAGACTCAGAAGCCGTCAAGTCTTAGCTCTGTCAGCCTCTACCCCTGTAACCTCAAGCAAATGATAGGGTTTTCTTCCGGTTTCTCTTCCCATACTGAGGCTCCGTCCATGCCCGCACCACTTAGCATGCCTAACTAAGCTTTAATCTGCATAGACACATAGCTAACGTGCCCCCAAATATTAAAATTTAATGTCTCACAGTCTCTGAAATTAGAACAATAACACCACATTGTGAATACCAAGTGAGGCATTTCACACGATTTGTAAACTATAAAGAGGAAAAGCACACGATTCAAAGTTGTAATCATGCTGTTATAGTTTTGTGGCTTTTTAGAAATACGTGGTTCTGTTACACTGGAAGGTTTAGGGTAAAGGTTTGTTTGCAGGAGAACTGAGCTTTCTCGTTGGCAGGATTTCATTAATCATCAGACCTACTCTGCTTCTCACCCACAGTGCTTTTTCTCTTTGGTTTTGGCTTGATAGGTTTGGTGCAGGGATAGAGTTATAAATCAGGGCTGCTCAACTTCGATACTGCTGACATCTTGGCAGGCAGGAACACCCAGAAGCACCCATGTCAGAAGCCAGATAAGTTTTTGTTTAGGGAGGGGCATAATGGAATGTCCAGGGGTATATCTCTTGCCCTCCATCATCAGCGGCCAATAGCACCTTCCCATGGGATGTAGCAGTTGGAATGTGTGACGTACTTTTTTCTCTTGCATCGTTGTTATGGATGGTCTTGATATTTTACATGGCTGAGCCTGGGTCCCTTAAACACTGCACTCGGTCTTGCCCAGAGATGATTTTGCTGACTTGGCTTTGACGTACATATTGGGTGACTGCTCTATCGCTGATCTGCATCCTCAGCCCATGAGTTGATTTTTAACTGCTACGAAATCGTCAGAGGATGTTCTCCATGAATGCGCTGCATAGTATTTCAGCCTAGTGGAAATATCTGTCTTCATAAATATTTATTTATTTGTGATTTAAAAAAACTTTCAAAATCCCCTCTTCTAGCTTTTTGAAATGGATGGTTCATTATTAACTATAGTCACTCTTTTTTAACTATAGTCATAAATAACACACCAGAATTTCTTGCTCCCCACCCTTCCCCCCTGCTGTCCTAGGCCTCGGGTCCTCAGTCTTCTACTCTCAACTTCTATGAAGATGATTCTGTGTGTGAAAGAGAGTCTGGCTTGTTATTTTTGGTTTGCCTGTTTGTTTTTCCGAGATTCCACATATGATTGAGATCATATGAAATTTGTCTTTCTGTAACTAACTTATTTAGCCCAATGTTCTCCACTTCCATCCATATTATTGCAAATACCACAATTTCATTCTTCTTGTGCCTGAAGGTGTTCCATGATGTATGTGTACCATGTTTTTGTCATCCATTCATTAGGTAATAGACACTTAGGCTGTTTCTCTTTCTCTCTAGTTATGAATAATGCAGTAAACATGGGAGCTGATTCTTCAATGTACTAGCCTAGTTTCTTCATATATATAAAGAGGGCAGTAAGATTTCTGGATCATACAGTAATTTAACTCTCATTTCTATCTCTGTATTAACTTATACACACACACACACACACACACACACACACACACACACACACACACACACGCACGCACGCGCACACACAAGTTTGCAAGGCTTCCCATTTCTCTACCCACTGCCAGCACGTACTTTCTTGGTCTTTTGGATGATTGTCGTTCTTGTTTGAGGGGCACTATCTCATTTTGCCTTTGATTTACATTGTCCTGAGGTTTGGTGATGGTGAATCTTTTTTCAAAAGGCCTGTTAGTCCGCTGTACTCTTCTTTGGGGTAATGCCTAGGTAGGTCTACTGCCCACCTTTCAGCTGGATGATCCGGTTCACTTTATTGAGTCTTTGGAGTTCCTTCTGCCTTCTGAATGCTGACCTCTTGACGCACGTGCCCTTTGCAGATGTCTTCCATTCTGTCTATTGTCTCTTCACTCAGATCACCATCTACTTTGTTGAGAAAGTGGTTGGTAGGTTAACATAGTCTGACTGGTTCTGCTTTTGTTTCATATATTTGATGGAGTCTTCTGAACATTTTGCCCTTTCTGTGAAGGCTTTCCCCTATATTTCCTTCTGGTAGTTCTGGAGTTTACATTTAAGTGTTCAGTCCACTTTGAGTCTGACTCATCTTTTCCTTGTTTTTGAGACAGGGTCTCACTATGTGCTCCGGGTGGCCCTGAATTTATAATCCTGAGATAACAGGCTTGTGAGCTACATTTTAAAGTGAATGTTCTGCAGATACCCAGGAGTAGTTAAGGGGGCTTCACCTGAGAAAGAACTTTAGAGAGGTGTCTCGTATGTCCAGTGTGTTTCAAATGGGCCCCTGCACATAGCAAACAGTGCCACCACCACCTGAGCCCTGCTTGGGGCTTGATCTACACCATCTCATCTAACCCCACCAAGCCCTGCTTAAGAGTTCTTAGGAATAAACATCTTCCTTCCACCTTACAGATGAGTAAATGGAAACCCAGATGTTATGTCAATCAAAAGTGCGTGGTTGTTAGGTAGCAAACCTGAAATTCAGTTCCAGCCTCGGTGGAGCAAACACTGGATTCCAGCATCCAAAACAGAAACTCCAAGGCTCCAAAACCCTGAAGACAGTAGAGAACTTCTTACCTAATCTCCACAACCACTGGATTAAGAAAAGACCCCCTCCAGTCTCATGGACAAATATGAAAAGAGGAAAACACACAAGATTACCAATTATAAAATCAATATCTATTTTGATTAAAATCTCTCTTGGCTGTCTTCTAGCTGAATGGTCATGATTTATTGTGAGCAAAATAAAATAGAGATTACAGGGCTATTGTGAATCATATGTGAACTGATAAGTTCTAAAAAATGTAGTTCAGCCATTGGTATTTTCCAAGAGTTTCATCATCAAATCATGGGAAGAACCTGGCTCCCTCCTCAAGTCAACAAGGCAGCCACCACTGAGGCCATGCAAAGGCAATGTTCTCTTTCCCATAACATCAGTGATGACACAGGGAGACTGGGCATGCTGGGCAATGGGGGCCGCTTCTAATACCCCGGGGAGAGGACACTCAGACACTGAGGCACATCTCCAGAGGTCTGGCCCGCATCCAGGGACTTTGGAATCTTGTGGTTTGCCTCAAACTCTGAGAAGAGGGAAAAGTCCCAGTGCCTAATTTAGTTGCTCCCTCAAAAGTAAACCAAAATGAGTCATGTGGGGATGGAGAAACCACGAGTGCCAGATGTCCATTTGAGGATCATAATAAAGACCCAAAGCTAAGGATGTGGGGACTCTAAGTGGGCCGTCCACGGGACCTAGGTGGCCGTCGTTTCCACTGTAACGAGTCACGACAAGATGTGCCCAGCGTTTGCATGTTCGTGCTCACGTGCAGTGAATGAATGCCTTGTGTATACTTCTGCCTCCTCCTTGGTCAGCTTGCCAGCTACTGTTCAACATCATCCAAGAAGACTAGAAATGTATACAATGGTGTTATTAAAGGGTGAGCCTGGTTCTGTTCAGTGTTACAGAAATGCCCAAGTTTAGACTTGGGTTAGTACTGTGGGTCAGCTGAGACTTGCTTCGCATGCAGGACTAAGTCCCCAGCACTGCATACACCAAGAGTGGTGGCACATGTTTGTCACCACAGTGCTCAGGACGGGGAGGCAAGAGAACCAAAAGTTCAAGGTCATCTACTAGGTCATGTGATGTGCTGCCTCAAAGGGAAGAGATGGAGAAGGGAGGGGAGAGGAGAGGAGGGGAAGATGAGGAAGAACAGGAAGAGGAGGGAAGGGGAGGGGAGGGAGGAGAGGGGAGCAGATGGGGGAGGAATACAACAAGAGGGACTTTTTTCACTAACACCAGCACTAGTGATATTATTTATTTTAAAATAATCTCTGCATGTGATGAAGATTACTTTTAAGTAGTAGAGTACTAAGAAAGCCCTTCTTCTCCTCACTCCGTCCCTATTTTCTGACTTTTGCCTCATGAAGATGTGCACTAACTCATCTTCTCACCATCTTTGTGTCTCCTCACCTTCCTTGTTTCAGTCTATGTGCCTTACTCTGTAAATGAGAAACTCATTGTCCTACCCCCCACCCGCCACCCTCTCTCTCTCCCTCTCTCTCTCTCTGTGGGTGTGGGTGTGTCTGTTGCTATCGGGGTTAATCAAGAGCTTTACATACTGTGGCAGTTTGAATGTAACTGACCCCCATAATACCAAGGAGTGATACTATTAGGAGGTATGGCTTTGTTGGAGGAAGTGTGTCACTGTGGGGGCGGGCTCTGAGGTTTCCTATGCTCAGGATATAGCCCAGTGTCTCAGGCTTCCTGTTACCTGTAAGATGTAGGACTCTGAGTTACTTCTCCAGCACCACATCTGCCTGCATGCCCCCATGCTCCCTGCCATGATGATAATGGACTGAACCTCTGAAACTGTAAGCTGCCACCTCAATTAAATGTTTTCCTTTATAAGAGTTGCTGTGAGGCCGGGCGGTGGTGGCACACGCCTTTAATCCCAGCACTCGGGAGGCAGAGCCAGGCGAATCTCTGTGAGTTCGAGGCCAGCCTGGGCTACAGAGCGAGATCCAGGAGAGGCACCAAAACTACACAAAGAAACCTGTCTTTAAAAAAAAAAAAAAGAGTTGCTGTGGTCATGGTGTCTCTACAGCAAT